ATCTAACAACGTAAAGACCACAAAGAAATAGAGAGAAATGAAATATAATTGAGAAACTCACCTAGCTCCGAAAAGTCACCCAATATGCTCTCTGAGGAGTGAGGACTCTTCGAAGCCGGGCGTTGAGAAAGAAAGGTAAGGAGTATCCTGTCTAATCCCATACTATGAAACCCCATGCCTACTCGTCACGTGTACTCCTTACAAAACCCCTAGACTGTGGAATTATTGGGTCTGAAGTCACCCCACAGGAGTTCCTTTCGGCATGTAGCAGAATGAACCCTAATGCAGCTTGCGGGATGGATAATCTCCCCCCAAGTCTCTTTAAAGAGATCTTGAAGCATGAGCGAGGACAGTTTGTTGGGATGCTAAATGCAGCGCTTGACTAAAACACTTCCCCCGACCTCTCGCGGAAAGCGCTCCTTAAGAAATTATTCTCAAAACCTGAGAGTCCGGCTGAGATATACCGAGGACCAGATGGCGCTATCGCATGGAAATGGGATACACAAAATCTACATGTTCCGGTCAAACTCACGTCGGACAGATTAGAGCAGGTTAAGACCAAGGCTGGTACTTTCTACCAACCCTTGGATCACGTCTACCACCCAGTGCCTATTAAGGACATCTACTCTCAATTGGTGACGCCTGCAGGACAATACGCATTGCTCATTATTAACAAGTCGCTAGAAAAGGGCCGTCCAGCCGCGGCTGACAATAATAATGTGGTTGTCTCATTAACTAAACCAAACAAAGATCCGGTTGTATTAAACAATTGACGAGGTATAACCCTCTCAACTGCCTTCAACAAATTGACTATGACCATCTTGGAAGACCGAATGAGCCAGATTCTTAATGAAAAAGGTTTCTTCACCGAAGATCAGGGTGGTTTTAGAAGAAATGAAGAGGGGATTTCACAATTTCTCTGTCTGACAGAGGTTGTTCGACAAAGAGCTAATGTTAATAAAAAGACATACGCACTCTTCATCGACTTTCAAAAAGCATTCCCTAGTGTTCCTCACGAAGCACTCTGGAAAAAGCTTAGACATCTCGGGATTCCCGAGAATGTGATTAACTTCCTAAACTCTGCCTATGAAATTAGTGAGTTTAGAATACGTACTGGAGATGAGCTATCAAAATGCTACTCCATGGAAGTGGGTACAAAAGAGGGCTGCCCTCTTTCACCACTCCTGTTCATCATTTTTATAAATGACCTGTTTAAGAAACTGCCCGGAGTACTAGTACCTGGGATAAAGACATCTGAGGGTAATTTCACAGATAGAGGAAAGTTGTATGCAGATGATGCTGCAGCATTCTTTGATTCCATTGAAGAACTCGAGGAAGGGTGTCGGATTATTTCTGAATGGGTAGATAAATGGCAGACCCTGAAAATTGGACATGCAAAATGTGCGGTAGTAATGTATGGTGAGAGGGACCTTGAAAAAAGAGAACTTTTCTACAAAACATACGGAGCTCCCACATCATCAGATGGGGATGTCGAAAAAAGGCATTTCTCACTCACTGACGGCCAAGTGTATGCGCAAAGATCATATGTATACCTCGGGATCCCAATTGGTGACTCCTTGGGTATTTTCTATGATGAGGAAACCGTATACGCTCGTGGAGTAGCTCAGAAGGTGAAGGAGCGAGTGGGGCAATTCACTTGCTTCCTCACTGATAAGCAAAAGCCAATCACTGAGAAAGTGTTCTTGATCAAGACTTATATCTTTCCAACTGCCTTGTACGGAGGCGAATGGTTTGGTATGAATAAGTCGCGCACTGCGCCGATCCAAGAACAGATTAACAGGGCCCTAAGAATGGTCCTCGAAATACCAAGGAGCAGGTGCAATGTAAATTTTGCACAAGTCTCTTGGGAATTAGGCATACCTACTGTAGAAGTAGCTTGCGCCACTGCTCGCCACCGCATCTTTGCAAAGGCAGCAGAATTAAAAACAGATGCAAGAGTAATCTTGACAGATACACACAAAGCAGGTCAGAAACAGACTTGGAGTGCTATCACCCATGCCGTAGTCAAAAAAGCTACTGCAAAGATTAACAAAATGACCTCCACACCAGAGGACGTTTCCGGACCCAAATTGGAGTCTTCAATGATTGAATCGCTCTTAATACAAAGCCTTGGGTGGTCCATCTCTCCAGTCGATCGACTGAAAAAATCTGTAGCTCCCGCCCTGGCCACTGCCTGCTTATGGTCAAACTTTAATAGAGAGACCACCTAGCCTTAGGTGGTCTATCTTTCCAGTCGATCAAGTGAAGAAATCTTCAGCTTTAGATCTGGCCACCGCCAGCTTATGGTCAAACTTTAATAGACAGACCACCTAGCCTTAGGTGGTCAGCCTCACCAGTCGATCGACTGGAGCCACAGATTGCCCCAGCCAATCAACTGGCCTCACCTGGAGCTCCAGTCGATCGACTGGAGCCACAGATTGCCCCAGCCAATCAAATGGCCTCACCTGGAGCTCCAGTCGATCGACTGGAGCAGTTTGTGGCTCCAGCCAATCAACTGGGGCCATCGGGAGCTCCAGTCGATCGACTGGAGCAGTCTGTGGCTCCAGCCAATTGACTGGGGCCATCAGGAGCTCCAGTCGATTGACTGGAGCAGTCCGTGGCTCCAGCCAATCAAATGGGGACATCGAGAGCTCCAGCCAATCTGCTGAAGCAGTCTGTGGGTCCAGAAAATTGACTGGAGAGATGGACCACCTAAGGCTAGGTGGTCTCTCTATCAAAGTTTGACCATAAGCTTGCAGTGGCCAGAGTAGGAGCTATAGATTTCTCCAGTCAGTTGACTGGAGAGATGTACCACCTGAGGCTAGGTGGTCCCTCTATTAAAGTTTGACCATAATCTGGGAGTGGTCAGGGCAGGCGCTTAAGATTTCTCCGGTCAATTGACTGCAGATTTGAATTCAGGACCTTTTTTTTAATTTATCCATTAGAAAATTTCAAAGCGCGTAAATCTGTTTAATTTTCTTCTTTGCGAAGGTCCCCTTGACATTTACCATTCATATTCTTCAAACACATTATGACATTGGACTCATAATGTTTTTTGCCCTTTGTATGTATTTGTGTAATTAAATTTGGTTATCCTTTATGGGTGATTGATACACTGTTGGCCTGCCAACACAACTATTGGCTACTGCTTGGCTTCATACCCACCAGGAGCAAGTGCGCAATGCTGTGTCCACAACATGTCACATGACTTACTCAAACCACCATCTGGCCATCCTTGCTTGTAGTCAAATACATGTTATACAATCTGCAAACCACAAGCTGGCCCTGGATTAGTTTCCTATAATTTCAGAGTCAAAAGTGGAGGAGACTCATTGAAGCAACAAGTTTCAAACATCCCGTCCGTCAAGTGCATCCATCAAGGTATGCTTTCATTAATCTTTCCCAACCTTACTAGCTTCAGATTTTCACTTCATGTTGTGGGGGTGGAGTGGTAGCAGCCAGTGACTTGAGGATATGTGAGCTCTTTAGGGGTAAGAATAGGTGACTGAGGGGAACCCCGACAACTGGTCTAGCCTCTTGATTCACATATCACCAAGTCGTGGGTGTTCCACTCCATCCTCATTCTATGTGGGTGATAATTCTGAAGCATTCCACGTGAGCTGACCTTTGTTTTATGCTTCCTGCAGCCAGGTTTCTCGGGTGAGATGTTATATCTCTCCGAGCAAGGTAACCCTGATCAATACTAACTTTTTACTTCTATTGAACCAATGGCTAGGCAGCAATCTGATGTCAAGGAGAAAAAGGAAGCTGTAAAGTGGGCTGCACATAAGGCAGCTAGAGATGCTAAGTATAAACAGGAGAAGAAAAAGAAGTTACATGACACAAATTGTGAAGCTGTGAGAATTCACACAAGAGAAACTGTCAGTTCTAGACTAAACATTAGAGGTGAACTATGCGTA